ATTTTATTTTATTTTGTTTTATTTTATTTTATTTTATTTTGTTTTATTTTATTTTGTTTTATTTTATTTTATTTTATTTTATTTTATTTTATTTTATTTTATTTTATTCTATTTTCTTTTATTTTATTTTATTTTCTTTTATTTTATTATACTGGAAATCTAATAAAATTTTTTTGTTTCTACAGTAATGTGTAAAATATTAACAACACAGTAAAAGGTTTTGAATATTGACTGCTATTACTAATTACCCATTCTACGAATATAAAAGCAACTACTTAAAACTAAAAGCTTTGATCAACCATTCAATTGCACTAATTTTATATAGATTTATTTGCTATAAAGATATTCTATGTATTCCTTCCGAGTATTATTATTTTGACCTTAAAAATGTTTAAGTCAGTATAAAATCATGTAAGTTTTTAGTCTCATGTATTAGTGGGGATAATGAACCAGATTTTCTTAAAACATATTGTCTATCTATGCTGCTTTGTTTTTCCAAAGTTTTTGTGTAATTTTGGAGTGGAGGAGGTTTCATTTAAATTATTGTACTTAATAAGGAAACTTGAAATATCAACATAATAAATACTTCTGAATTTAGAAAAGACTAAAACCATTACATGAAACAAATTTCATTATTGTCATATTCTGACAATACAAAGCTAAACATCCGAATTTCGCTTGGTGGTCTTAATATTGTACACATACCTGTATTTTATTTTTGTTTGATTTTTCAGTTTCATTTTTGTTTCCTTATATTTATGTATTTTTTATAATTTTTATTTTATATTTCTTAAATTAATTTTTATTTGATTTTTTAATATTATGATTAATTAAATTTTATTTAATATGTCTTATTATATTTTGTTTATGTATGTATATATATATATGTATGTATGTATTTTTTACTTGCTATTTTTTACTGTTTCTTAATTTTTGCCTTTTGGTTAGAATATTTTTTAAATTCTATTTAATTTATTTTTAAATAATTTAAATTTATTGTTTTTGCATTATTTAATTTTAGTGTCTCTTAATTTTGTTTCATTTTATTTTGTTTAGATATTTTATTTTTGTCAATTTAATTTTATTATTACGTTGGTTGGTTTTTGCATTATTTAATTTTATTTTGTTAAAATATTTTATTTTTGTCGATTTAATTTTTTAATTTATTTTTTTTATTAAATATGTTTTTTTTATATATTTTTTAAATTTAATATTACTTATGCATGTATGTATTTTTTTACTTCCTATTTTTTACTATTTCTTAATTTTTGCCTTTTGTTCAGAATATTTTTTAAATTCTATTTAATTTATTTTTAAATAATTTAAATATATTTTTTTGCATTATTTAATTATATTGTCTTTTAATTTAATTTCACTTTATTTTGTTAAAATATTTTATTTTTGTCAATTTAATTTTATTATTACGTTGCAGTTTTCAATTCGTTACTCAACAGAGGATTGATAAAAGAAATATTTTTTCTTCTCACAGACCTGTTTATATTAGTTGCCCAATGTCTTAGTATAGGATGACGTATTCCCCACATACTATTGTTTACTTTTTGTTGCGTTATAAAACAGCCAAGAAAAATAACCTAATGAATGAAATCATGCGTAATTTAGCACTCACCACAGCAATAATAATAACAGTGTCTTGCCAACAACAAAAGCCTTTCTACAAGCAGGGTAGTCGTGCGCAAACACACACACACACACACTCTCTAAATCTCCAGCATCAACACACTCACAAGTATGCGCTGTTTAAAATTTAAAATATCGAGCAAATTAAAAGCACAGTTGTCTGTCCATATCTGGTACGCATTTGGCTTTTATGCCATCATTGGCCTGCAGGCTTGTCTAAATAACGACGCTCAGCATTCGTCCATTCATGCAGCCATCCATCCATCCATCCATCCATTCATTCATCCATCTATCCATTCATTCATTGTACATTCATTCATCTTTTCGCTGGATTGTTCGTATACATATATGTATGTATGTTTGTATGTTTGCTTGTCTGTCCGCGAGTCTGTCAAACCATCTTTGCTTTTTAGTCATACACCAACTTTGGTTGGTTGTTTATAAGTTTGTCTGGTCTGCTTGCCAACTTTGCTTATTTGTTGTTGTTTCTGAATATCCATTAATGTTGTTGATCTTATTGTTCTCGGTTTTGTTGTTGTTGTTGTTGTAAGCGCGCTTCACATTCTTTGCATGATTTACGATATCTGTTTTGGATACATATTACCATATGTTTGTGCGTGGTACATATGCACATTAGGGTGCATCACAAAAAAATGCAGTTTTCAAATGGAATTATAAAATATATTATATTTTAAGAGTCCCGCCAAAATATTTTGGGAAAATATTAAGATTTACGTGAGCTAGCCCGGCTTAAATATACCTCATTATTTTAATTCCGTTGACAAAATTTTTAAAAATATTTTTGCAGATATTTTAAGCTTAAGCTCTCCTACCATCTGAGCTGTTTTTCAGAAAAACAATTTTGTTTTAGGTATTTTCAAATAGGTCTACCTCACGTAAAGCCTAAAATATATATATTTGTTTTAATATGAAGAGTGATGCACCCTAATCCATGTATCTACTACTCCTCCTTCACTCACAGTTCATTCATAAGATTTCAGCTTCAACGTGTTACATACAAATGCCAGTATTTCATTCATAAAAATATTCGTTCGCCCATTCATACAACCAATTGCCATAAACACATTCGTCTACTTTCATCTCCTCGAAAATATCTTTACCCCTCTCGTTCAGTCGTTGTGCGATCAGCGCGCATCCAACCACAACCATTTACGTTCACGCTCGTTTCCACACGCCGCCCGCCGCCCGCCACTCGTCAACACTACACCCCCCTTTTCGATGAGCTGAGATGCTTGACAGCTTTTTCTTTCAATTTTGTTCAATGAATGTAGCTGTGTTGTTATTGTAGTGAAATTCTTATTGTTATTGTTGTTGATATGCTTATTTTTTGCTTCAATGCTTTTCCGTTTTACTACCCTTTTCATGTTTTTTTGTGGTGCTTTTTTATAGAATTTTACACCAGTCGTAATTGTCATTTGTGAAGCGAGAATTTTTTTTTTGCGTTTTCCTTAGCACCGGAACTAAATCTTAGCGGCTCCTAAGTACCGACAATATTTCCATTCTATTAAAGGTTATCTTCATTGATTTGGTTTTGTTGTCGTCGTTATGATTTATTTCGTGTTAGGTAATTTTTGTGGACTTTGCTGAATTTATGCGGTTGTTATTAGACATTTTAACCATTACGCTTTGCTATAACGGAAATGGTTAGAGAGAGGGTCCAATGAATTTGAAAACGTATGGATTTTGTTATCCGATTTAAATTGGGGAATCGAAGCGGCTGTTGTTAATGTCTATTAAAAACTTGAGTATGTATATGCTTACACACTTATATATACAGTCAGCGTCAAAAATATGAATACCCAGACGTTTCTTTATTTATATTTTCCATACCAAATTTTTCTTATTTTTTTATAAAAATATAGTTAGTACAACAGCAAAAACCAGCAGAATCAGTTTTTTTCCAATTTCATATATAACTCGGGAAAATTCTAGAACTACCAAAAAATTT